TCTACTCTCGTAGCACGAATTGCAGTTTTTGCTTTTTTTCCTTTGTTGGTATTCAATGCATCTCTTTCGTTCATTGTCATATTTTCTTTTTTATTGATTTTATATTCAATAGATTGGTGAATCTTCATCCACCTTCAATTCCTTCTATCGTCTTTTATTACTTTCTTTCTAAATTGTTTGATTTCCATTACGAACATAATTAGATTCATCGAACAAGTTTTCTTTTATCCATGGTCAATTGATAACATTTTCTTTTTGAAATCTTGTCATTTTTAATTGTCATAACATATTGATGGTAGTTGCTGTTCTTGTCCAGTCTAGACATGTATTGATGAGATTAAGTCATTTGAACAAATTTGTGCATCCTTAACAGATTATGAGAATGACATATTCATTTTCCTTTATGAAGGTAATCTGAAAGTATACATTCTATCTGTGTTCTATTGATTAAAAGTATTTGATTTTTTTTGTTTACATCTGAACGTGCATCTTGTTGGATCTAAGTTCAACAAGATTACACATGAGTAAATAGCAACAACTATACTCGCGATGAACGGAACATTAAATACGGTAAATTTATCGCATCTTTTTACAACAAGTACTCGAGTATTTTGATTTGATGTCATAATGCTTAAAAAAAAACAACTATGAAAATCCGTAATTTTGTTAGAAAATAATTTTTCAACAATGTCAAACATAAAAATTCTATAATTTATAACTTGTTTTATTTCTGCCATGTATAATCTTTATTTACAGTGATTAGTTTTTTTTTCGTTTCTCAATGATGAATAACACAGTAGATGTCAAAAAAAGAAAAAAAAGTGCATGTGGATAACCTTTCTCGTATTTACATTCACATTTTTTTCATCGACCTTGATAGTCTTATCACAATGAAATAGAGGTACAGAAAAGAAAAATAATAGTTTCTATTGACGAAGCAAAAAAACATGTTTCGTCACGGTGATAATGCAGAATACACTATAAAAAAAACAATTTACAGAATGATTTTTATATTTCTTTCTTTTTCTGATTTCAACATTATTACACATGTCTGAAAATAGATATAAGAACGTACTATTAGTTGGCGCTTCTGGTAATATTGGGAAATATATTCTATCTGATTTGCTTGTCGATCCCGATTTTAAAGTTAGTGTTCTTTCACGCACGGATTCATTGACAAATTTCCCATCGACTGTCAATATTATTCGAGTCAACTATTCAGATAAATCAGCTCTTGTTAAAGCATTGACCGGTCAAGATATTGTTATTTCTGCTGTTGGTGGTGAGGCTTTATTGAAAAATCTCGATAAAATTTTGATTGAAGCTGCTCTTGAAGCAGGTGTTAAGTGGTTTATTCCATCTGAATATGGCTTCGACCTAGATCATTCTTCTGCTTCTTCAATTCCAATTAACATTTCTCAACTGGAAAACATCAAACTTCTCCAACAAAATCAATCACGTCTTGCGCATACATTTATTTCTACTGGTGCTTTTCTTGATTGGGGTCTTGATGATGGCTTTCTATGCTTCGACATAAATAATCATACGGCAACACTTTACGATGAAGGAAAACATTTTGTATCAGGTACACTTCTTAAAAATCTTGGTAAAGCTATTATTGCTATACTTCATCATCCTGAAATAAGTTTAAATAAACGAATTTACATTGCTGATGCAACATTTACACAACAAAATGTATTAGCTCTTTTGGAAAAATATACAAATGTCAAATGGACAGTGAAATATGTGACTACGGAAGACACATTGAAAAAAGGACAAGAAGAATGGGCAAAGGGTAATTTTTTGGACGCTTCTGTTGCATTTATTCTAGGATTGCTATATAATGGTGAAGGTGCATGTGATTTTGAAGATAAAATAAACAATAAAGATCTAGGATTGAAAAGAGTCCCGTTGGAACAAATCGTTCACGAAGCTGTTCAACAAAATGAAACTGTTGCTCACTAACTGTTTTTTTTTATATATATATCATAGAAATTTTTCTCATTATTCATATTAATATATAATTACACTAAATAACTCATATTATTCAAATATAAAGTAAAAATTTAATTATTGATATTGCAATAAGAAAAAAGAATTGTAAGTCGATGATTTAATCAAATTCATTGTCGATTACGAATGTACATTTTGAATAAGACTCATCAACTGACAATTTATTTGGTTACTACTTCAAATCAACCATGATAAGACCATTCAGGCATATAATTAGGAAACAGTAAAAGAAGACTTTGTCAACCATGTATTTATCAGAAATTCAGTGGTCAAAAATATGAATTAAATTTCTTTTGATTATGAGATGCAGAATAGGAATCTGAGTTGTTTGTACTTGTGATTCGATTTTTAGATTAGGTCTAATTTCTCTCAACTTATCTTGTGTTTAGAAATTGTGGAAAATTCATAATTTTTGAAAGTTATTATTTTCTTAGATTGCTGGTAGGTAAAATTGAAGTGAACGTCACTTCTTTCTCTCCTTAATTCTGATTTAAACTATAAAAATTCTTTCAATAAGACTGATACAAAGCTTTCATACAAATATCAGCATTGATTTTCTTAATGAAATGTGATCTCAGGTAACTGTAAACAGTGAGTTTCTTTTCCATGTATAAAATCCAAAAGTCTATTTCTGTCATATAAACTTAAATCATTGGGTATGTTATTTTATCGTATTTAGCTGATATCAGTATCTTAATGATCGTAGTTTATAAGAAAAGGAACAGATCATGAACTTCAACTCTTGTGTGATAGAATAATTGACTTACTATTCAACTTTATATTTGTGAATTGTGACGATGGAATTGGTACGAGTCTAATAATGTGAAATTAATGGTGATTTAAATTATGAGATTTAAGACAAGTCACTGATTATTAATAGTATTGATCAGTATGGAAAATGAAATGAAATTCGGAAGATCTTCTGATTAGATGAGCTGTTGTTAGATGCTAGTCTCCATGCATAGATGATGAGTGTAATGATACAGCGGCTAGGTTTTATTGTTCTCGTTCAATCCATTAGATGAATAAAGAAAATATTATTCAATGGTTCTGATTTAAGTGGTCAATAAAATATATAAAATGGTTAGTTTTTTAAACATGATTAGCGTTACAAAAACTATATTTTATATCAGTAAAAAATTCAGATTTGGTCAGTGAACACTAGATTTTATCAGCGAAATGTTTTTGTATTTGTATAAAAATGGTATGGGAGCGAGTGTAAGTTCTAATGAGTTTTCATTTCATTCACATCCACATCCATACAATTCTTCTACATTAAAGATTTGCGATGCTTATCTTTGTTGTATCTGTAATAAACTGTTCCTCTATTTTCTACATAGTTCGTGTGATGTCTTGACTATTCGTGTCGGATTGATGCTTCTCCTCAATCAAAATTATCCAAGGTAGCCTCATTAACTCAATATATTGATTTTTGTTCTTTGGCACCTTCTTTTGTTTTCATTTATTTCATAATTTTCTTCTACACTCTCTTCGTTGTCATACATCACTTTCATGTTGTGCAACTTGTACGACGTTCATCTTTTTTTAATCATGAACTCTAAGCTGAAGTAGAAGAAAATGATTAAAGTCAATAGTACCCCTACGTGTGTCGTACATAGCATCTTTATTACATAGTACAAAGAAGCAAAGACAATAAGAAGTGAATTATTTTATGACACATTTCAATTTCCATACTTATTCATTAATTTAATTGACTATTAATGAATTTAACTGACTACTCTTTGAATTTACAAACGTAGATTAGACACGTTCAGACGTTGCTAAAATGAAACATCTGATTCATCTAGACACTTGTTTTCGGATCTTTTGAGAAAAACGCTTTAAGACGCGTCAGATGTTTCATGTTAGCTACATCCGAATGTGTTTCCGATATGAACGCATTTAGCTGCATCTACATGGATTCTTCTCTATGTGTTTGATTACGATCAAACTATACCGCAGTTACCACAGGTTATTTGTAAAAGATGTAAACTTCCATGAACATTCCCAAATCAGGAACCGATACTATCAGTAAATCGAGCTTCGCAAGTTGATTCTACGAAAAGCCATATTTTTTGACAGTACTCAAAATATTAGGCTTTTACATGCTTGTCTGAGAAATATAGCAGGGATGTACTTATTAAATTTTTAGCATTATAATTGAACTTTGCATATTAGTCATTCCTCAATAGACACGATCGGACTAGCTCAATCAAGTGGTTGCCAGATGTTGCTTAATTCAAGATATTACTGTCGAGGGAAGAGTTTTATCAATTTTGACGAGTGTGGGTGTGGGTCAGGATGTGGGAATCAATCTTTCTGCCATCCCACACCAACACCCATACTCTCACACACAACCATATCTTCCACTGGATAATGGGAGTTCTGACAGTGTCTGAGAGAGACCAATTGAAACTTTTAGGATTTGACAGTGGTAAAAAATGCGTTTTTTGATTGAGCGAGCATTCTTTATGAGTGATTTCTAGGTTGATTTTACAGAATATTTTTGATTAATCCGTATATATGCGAAAGGTATGATTAAATTGATAGATATGAAAGATTGTAGAAATGATCATCTATTTCCTTAAAAAGCTGTGTCCATCAAATGGACAAAAAGTAGAAGAACTTGATAGTTATTCTTTATTATATAACAAAGCTTTTTACATTTTATGCTACATGATTATAAAAAAAAAAACCTTACAATATTCATGTTTCAATTTTTTGACATAGAAATGCTGAATAATGAAAATTTTGGCTTGGACTTTAAGCAATCATCAAAAGATTATCTGTTGACATTAGATAAATCCCTCACCCTCATATAGTACTGTGTGATAGTATTAATCACGTTAATTAATAAATAGACATAGTTTAAAGAAAATAATTGCTTTCGAAACTCGACTGGCAAAGTTAGTAAGAGGAATTTGCAGTTTCCCAAAATGAAATGTTGCAATTAATTCTTCATAATTTGGACTAACCATTTCATTTAATTAATTATCTTTTCCCGTTACAGTTTGATATAATTCTTCGAAAGCTTTTTCATCTTTTGTCACCTTTGACATATTTGCATATGTGTTGGGAGAAAGTCTAGGTGTATTTGTCATTCTATTAATGCAATTAGTTGCTATTGGTAAATATTTATTAAAACCATTTGAAGAAGCAGCTATGGTCGTAAGATGAAATTCAATACATTTTTTATTGTAATGTTGTATTGTAAGAAATGTTGATTGAGGAAACAAACGATATGATTGATAATCAATTTTACTATACACTTGTTGATCATTAACTGCAGTTAAATCAAGATAACCAGATGTGTTATTAAGAATCTCTTTTATATGTTTAACTTTTGATAATTGTAGAATAAAGTTACCATCATATATATTATTTTTGATTAAATATGGGGAAGAGTTTGTTTGATTTTTTGTTGGATTAAATAATGAAGATTTTCTACTCTTGAATCGATTAATTAATGCCATTTAATATTAAATATCTTTCTAATCAAATTTCTTTTGATATTTTCAGACTATATTACCGTATACTAAATAATGAAATTATCAAGTCGTTTATATACTATGATGAACATATAAGAAAATACTGATTTACGATAACAAATGAAAACTTCCACTGAATGCGTCAGAAGAATACCTTCTAGATTACTTCCTTTCTTTTGTTGAGTTCTGTGAAATATGACAACCAATATTAGTAAAATGACGTCGCACTCGAGAAGGTAGGCAAATGACAGGCACGTGATAAGTGAATCCGATAAATGTAACAGTCAAGTTAGTTTAACATAGTTTTACTTCCCCAAAATTTTTCTTTCGAATAGTAAAAGCCGTCGCAGGCATATAGCTACTTTCATTATCGGAATTCATTATATTTTCATTCTGACAGTAATCAAAATAAAACTGATTTACCGTTAAATACAAAATATTGTTAAAAGAAAAATCCATCCCAATGTTTACATTGGAATCTTTGCTTAAATATTTTTTTCGTATTTTCTTTTAGGTTCGTAATTATTCGGATAGAAAACATTTGGCAAAGACGATAGAGAGACATAATGCCAGTCAACAAGGATTGAGTCTCGATGAAAACAATGCAGTGGCAGACGACAGTGTAGATTATCTAGTTCGTATGATCAAACATAGTCAAGCGCTAAACGAACTCTGGATCACTGACTGCTGAATATCAGAACACGCTGGAAAAAAGCTTCAAAAGATCACAGATGCAAAACATAACTTTCAACTTGTATGCAGACAAGATGAAAATTTCCCTAACAAGAAGTAATATTTATTTGGAAATCATTGTAAATAAATAAGAACATTGAATTAATATTCAACTATGTTTCTTTTGTGACAGTTAATGTTATCGAAACACATATTCCCATCCATTCACATCCCACCCTTCAGTATACAATTTTCATAGGTTCAAATAATAAATACTTCCCATTGAATCATCTGTCTGTTCTAGTAGAACTGCTTATGAAGAATCACGCTCATACAAAGTAAACTTATCTGAAATATTTGAAGAAATTGAAGAGCAATACGTTTGCCTATTCATATCGAATGGTACGGATTTGGTTTCGAAGTTTTTCATTGCAAACACACTTTTATATTCACACTCTAAGTGTTCTATTTGTTATTAGTTGCTGACGTTCAAGAAAACTGATCCTCATTTTGTCGAACAAAAATATCCCAAAACTTCATAGTCGTCGAGAAAAGTTTTGATAATTTTAAATTATTTCAATTTATAAGATATCAAAACTTCATATTAGAGAGGAAAATAAATCAGAGAATATGATGCTGATTGCACTGTTTTTGTTCAATGACAAGGAATAATCGTATGAAAATTTGTTTGATGAATCGTTATTTCCTTTTTTTCTTTGTCTTTTGACGATATTGTGAAATATCGTTTCAATACTCTGGCGTAATAACAGTCATTTTGGTTTGGGTGTGATTGTTTGTGTCTTTCATATACAGGTTAACAGCCACAGCCAGATCCGCCGACCACCATATTCACCCCAAACCTCCATACAAACACCCAAACCCTCTTTTTGCATTTCAGCATATTTATGTTTCAATATTTTTGTCAATAGATATCTTAGTTTTCGTCATTTTTACATTCTACATTTTTATCGATAGAAACTTTTATTCACTCCTTTTTCGATATTTTTCTTTTCGAAAAACTCAGGGTTCACCTACACTTACATACATATCACTTTTCAATACAGACTTCGCCATTAAAGTTGGTGAGTAACTGAGTTTTGCTCCCAGCTCACATTGTTTACACACTGTGTCTTCAACATTTTGTTGAAGCAGCTACCAAACCTTTCGATTATCAGTCAAACCACTTTCAATAAGCGCTGTGAGAGAAACAAAAACAGAGTAGTTGAATATTTTTTCTGTGCAGCAATACAATCAGTCATTTTCTTTCGTTGTTTTTTGCTGACGATGACGATGTGTTTTTGAGGGAGTACTCATAGAGTAGGTGAGTAGTCAATGGATACTAGTATATTTTCAGGGACATCCAAGAACTGATGAATAAAAACTCATCATCAATTTTCTCACAGTGCGATCCATGCAACAATCAAAAACATACCAGATCCAAGGTATTGTTTTATTTTTACACTTATTTTCATTCAGAAACTAGTTGAGATGAATCTGTGGGTACGAAATTTGTTGTAGAGAAAGTATTAATTTGATTTTCATAAATGGAGGAATTGCGATGAAACTAATGATCATTTCTCGTTTCCATGAGGAATATTCGTTGCGGTACTAATAATTCCTCTACAGTTTAGGGATGTCCATTCCTGAGTTCTCATGAGCAGTATTTCATGCAGCGGTGTAACCAGGATTTTTAGACTAATGGGCAAACTTCTCTTGTGTCGAAAAACAGCGACGAGCGAAATGGGCAAGGTTTTATTGATACGCCAAAACTTTTTTGGTCCAACAAAGTACAAATAATGTAGAAAAAACATGCATAAGTTAATGTTCAGAATTCTTCCAATATGCATCTGTACAGCATACATGGACATTTTCTCTATGAACTAGGTCTTTTTACATCTTGGGTTTTTTCTTTATGTCTCCACATATACGTCATTGGATCTTTCCTTTCTCTTCTATACGTCACTCTTTATGTATATATCTACACATATAAATGTTCGTGTGTTCTCTTAATCTGTGCTCTTGTTTCTCTTCTCTATGATCTATAATTCTCTACCTTTACATGCCTAGTGTTTTCCCAATAAAACCTAACTCATGTTCACCCAAATTTACAGTTTTAAATCAGGGTTGCCAGTTCTTCTGCAAAGTCATGAAAATTTCTGAAATTTGAACATTTTTCTGATTTATATACTTTTGTCTGATTTGTCGCCGATTTCAAACACTTTTAGATGGTTACTTTACTAGCGAAATTAATTATGACTATAACTCATTAATATTATAGCCCTGTATTGTGCTACCTTCTTTTCTTTCTTAATCTTTTGTAGTTTCTGAGTTCTGCAGCTACTGACGAATACTTTAATATATCAGTAACTTCGTAAAACATTCCGACGCCAGGTGTCTTTTGCTCGCTTCTTTTGTATTAACTAACAGTTGAAGATCATGTAGCTGCAAATTAAGAAAATTGTTCATAGTCGAATCAAATGAATGCTCTCACTTACAGACCAACTAGTTTAAAACATGAGCTGCCAATAGCGTACACAGACCGAGATGTTTAAATTTCAAGATATTGGCACTGTCATGTGCCCACATTACGAAATTTCATCAACCTTTAATGTTTTTTTCGTCATGATTGGATGGGACACGACTATTTACATAAGGAGAAACAATATCACATATATTGAAAAGCAATATGACAACAATTAGAATTTTTTACTTATTACCCTTTAGTTAAAAATATGCTGTCTTAGACTTCGTTGAATTTGATTTTTAATATGCGTGATATTGTTTTTTCGTATGTAAATGGTCGTGCTCCATCCAACCATGACGAACAAAGAAAACTAAATGTTGATAAAATTTCGTAGTGTGGGCACATAACAAACTGTAAATTTCTTAAGACTCGAATATCTCGTCTATGTACCCTCTTGGCAGCTCACATTTTTAACTAGTTGGTTTGGCAGTGAGAGCATTCATTTGATCCAACTATGATCAATCTCCTCAGCTCACAGTACATGATAAGCCTTGCTTTGCAGAAAGTTACTCTTTCTGATTCGTTTCCGATTTTGGAGAAAAAATTCTGATTTTTTTCTGATTTTGAAAACAAGAATTTCTGATTTTTAAGTTGTTCACCTGGCAATCCTGGTTAAAATACCAGAAGCGATTCTGTTCTTAATTCTTCATAGAAAGAGCAGGCTAAGAGTGTATGTGTGATTCAGACGGAAGAAAAAAACATAGTTACCATCTAATTCAAAAATAAATACACAATTCTGAAAAAGCAAAAATTTCGATGGGCAAAAACTTACTAATAAAAATTACAATGGGCAACTGCCTATTAGCCCCTCTTTTGGCTACGCCGCTGATTTCATGGAGGATGTTAGCTTAAAAAAATTCCGTGCCGAGTGTTTGCCAATCCCAGCCAGATAAGATAGCCTCCGTTGATGGCAACAGTATCCAAAAACTGAGAAATGGAAACTCATTAAGTGCAAAGGAAATATCAGCGTCGTTATGATCATTCATCGGTGAAATAAGAACTAATCGTCAGTTCCCCCAGTGTTCATATGTTCGTGCAAGTCGAAGTAATGCTTTCCCTAAAATAGTTTTGTACCGCAGACCCATGCTCAAAAAATTTCTGAAGAAAGTGAGTGCTAAAGCAAAAGATGCCAAATATACTGTATCTTTTTAATTTCATCATTTGTAGAGCTGTAAGTGAATTGAGGACGAATTTCTATTTCTTGGTCTTTCGTCATTTACACCCTCGATGATACAATGAAGTTGCCTTTTCGAAATTCATGCAAGAAAAATATGGCCACATAAGTTATACGGCCATTTAGAAAACTGTTTTATTTTATTGACAACGTTGTAAATTGAGCTATAAGTTATTCGAATCCTCGAAATATCATCATCAATGCAAATGTTAAAACAGAGCGGAGCTACAAATCCTTGTGTTGAAAATATTGAACTTCAGTCCCAATTTTAACTAGACCTGTGACAGATCAAAGTTCTATGAGCCGGTTCTTTTTTTTAGAAGTTGTTCGGTGACCCGTTCCTTTTTATCGAAAGTATATTTAGTGATACAGCTGTAGGTGTGTGTCGTGTGCGACCTAAGGACTAACAGCCAGATCCGCACTAACATCCACACCCACACCCAACATGTTTCTTCGAACAACATTTTTTTTGACTCGCTTCCTAATGTGAAACAGTGGGCTGAAGTTTGTCACTGAAGCCGGTGTTCATTTATATACACTCTACTTTTTCACATGATGCAATGTGCTGCTCCCTCATAACAGCATTGTCCAAACAGCAAGATAAGTATCGACAAT